ACTATATCTATTCATAGAATTGTATGTTATCTTACGGATAGTTGTTTACTTGCGTTTTTTCATTTCCAAGATTAAAGAGTCAAGAAGTATCCTGAACGCAAATATCGTCATTTACAAAAAACAATTGCTGATTGGTCGACCGATCGAGAAAAAATAAACCCAACTTCTATGAACACCGTATGCCAAGGGTTAATGAGGAGAGTAGCGTATCAGAAACCCCTGGATAGCGAAGATGGGAAATATGCTGCAGAAATAAGTCTATTCCCAAGGAACTCTGAGTCCTATCATATCAAAATTGCAGAAATCGTACATCCGAAAAGGGGGTAGGTGCGGGAGGGGGTTACCCCCAGGGAGGTTTGGGGGACCTCTCCCGAGAAAATCTGACGCAAAATTAGCGCTTTGGAAAGAAGAAAATTGTAAATTTAAACAAAATATGTATGCTTGTTATAATTGATTTTGAATTGGGCATTTGGGGAATTTCGCCTATTAAACAGTCATAACTAGTAAGCTTTTCTTTTTAAAGCAAACTCTTATAAATTCCGAAAATATATGTCACCCCAAAGTACATAGAAGTTGAAAAAATTTCTAAGCAGGTTATTTTTTAGACATCTCCATCCTGTGATTTGAATATTTGGAAACTATGATACATATATAGGCATTTATATTATTTGTTATAAATTTGAATATTAAATATGTTTTCAAAAATTGGTATTTAAGTATTATCTTTTCATTATTTTGTAGTTCTAACAGATAAGTTTTAGACAGAGAGAGAGAGAGAGATTTGGTGTTAGCCGATTCCGTCGTACCCCCTCACTCTTCCTATGCATGAACCTGTGTCAAACAAATTTTAAAGTTCTAATTATTTATATACTAGCTTGTATCAGGAACGCTGCTGAGCGAATGGAAAAATAAAAAGAACGTTTTAAGGGTTTGAAACTGCATGTACGAGGGTTGTTCGAAAATTATTGAGGCATTGTGTATATTTTGCTTTCAAATGAACGTCTTTCAGTGAAAGTAGGCATATACGTTTGACATACACTAAAGGTTAATTAAAATAAAAATAAAAATTCTCATCATGTCCCTTGCACATTAGTAACAGCCTTGATTTTCTTGTGCATTGAGTATTTATCTTTCTCATAGGATTATCATTCAATCCTTCCGACGTTACTCTTAATGTTTGAGAGTAGATGTTTTATTCCAAAGCTAACAAATCCCCCAGCCAAATAAATCCCACGAATTTTCGATTTAGGATAGAATTTACCGAATGTATAGCTTATTCGGTACACGTGAATATTGTAAGGAAGTCTCGACAAACACTGGCTACATTTTCTCAGCGTGAACATGCTAAAGACATCACGCATACGGCGCGTACATGCGGGTGTGAGAGTAAAATTGACGTAAAGTTGCCAAGCTTGCGTACCAAATTAGAGCAGAGAGTTTCTGTCAGTATTGGGGTGAAAATATGAGTATGATTATCTGCTGTAAAAATATCGTTTTCAGTAATAATGACCCGACAATATCCGAGGTAGCATGATGAAAAGCCCTTCCTTGATGTGACGTTGTTACGCGCTAACATCATCGTCATGGTTGGTTGGAAACATTTTAAGTTACTCTCTGACAACCGAAAAAAAATTTTTGGTTGAAAAGTTCAAAACAAACTGCACAACAACATGTTGTTGCCTTTTTATTCAGTTATGCAACTCAATTACTAGACCCCATGTAACTTCCGTTAGCCATACCATGATTGGAATTTATACTGACTACAAATACCGGAAAACGATGTCTATAACTCTAATGCATCTCTTGGCACTAAAAAATGTGATCACAAAATTGTCATCATCAACATGCACGTGTATTTGGCTTTTTATCAATTCCCCTACGTGACGCCATACATTTCATGGTTGAGTAATTTATAATGTATATTGTAATGTTTATGCTATTGGCATCTTAGTTTCAACTGCAGAGTAATATGCCTAAATTGGGTTGAAAATAGCTCATTTTGGAAATATGCATCTTTGCTTGCCAAGGGTTTCTGATATATGCTACTCTCCTCATGAACCCTTGGCATAAGGTGAAGTCAAAAGACGGGATTGTTTTCGTCACGTGATTTCCAATCAATCAGGTATGCACAGATTGCGTCATCGACAGAAATAAAGACGCGTGGTTAAAAGAATTAAATCAAAAGTTTTTTTCAAGAATATTTAAGAAGCAATAATTGAGTTATGTTTATTTATTATTTATAGTACACAAAGATGCTTCAAATTGAATATAGATTCTTAATCACATATTTAGAAGATATTGGATGACACTATATCTATTCATAGAATTGTATGTTATCTTACGGATAGTTGTTTACTTGCGTTTTTTCATTTCCAAGATTAAAGAGTCAAGAAGTATCCTGAACGCAAATATCGTCATTTACAAAAAACAATTGCTGATTGGTCGACCGATCGAGAAAAAATAAACCCAACTTCTATGAACACCGTATGCCAAGGGTTAATGAGGAGAGTAGCGTATCAGAAACCCCTGGATAGCGAAGATGGGAAATATGCTGCAGAAATAAGTCTATTCCCAAGGAACTCTGAGTCCTATCATATCAAAATTGCAGAAATCGTACATCCGAAAAGGGGGTAGGTGCGGGAGGGGGTTACCCCCAGGGAGGTTTGGGGGACCTCTCCCGAGAAAATCTGACGCAAAATTAGCGCTTTGGAAAGAAGAAAATTGTAAATTTAAACAAAATATGTATGCTTGTTATAATTGATTTTGAATTGGGCATTTGGGGAATTTCGCCCATTAAACAGTCATATCTAGTAAGTTTTTCTTTTTAAAGCAAAGTCTTATAAATTCCAAAGATATATGTCACCTCAAAGTACATAGCAGTTGAAAAAATTTTCTAAGCAGATTATTTTTAGACATCCCCTCCCCGTGATTTGAATATTTGGAAACGACGATGCATATAGAGGCATTTATATTATTTGTTATAAATTTGAATAAATATTTTCAAAAATTGGTATTTAAGTATTATCTTTTCATTATTTTGTAGTTCTAACAGATAAGTTTTAGACAGAGAGAGAGAGAGAGATTTGGTGTTAGCCGATTCCGTCGTACCCCCTCACTCTTCCTATGCATGAACCTGTGTCAAACAAATTTTAAAGTTCTAATTATTTATATACTAGCTTGTATCAGGAACGCTGCTGAGCGAATGGAAAAATAAAAAGAACGTTTTAAGGGTTTGAAACTGCATGTACGAGGGTTGTTCGAAAATTATTGAGGCATTGTGTATATTTTGCTTTCAAATGAACGTCTTTCAGTGAAAGTAGGCATATACGTTTGACATACACTAAAGGTTAATAATACCAAGAATTATTTTACAAATATAAATGTTTTCTCTACAATGGTTTATATATGTGTCAATAGTTGGGGTACCCGGAGCAGTCGCGGAATCAGACATTGAAAAAATGTAATCCCAAAGTTCTAACTCTTCGTGGATCAATAATGAGAGCTAAAATAATTCAGTTTAAGTGTATAATTTTTCAGCTTTGGTTCAAATTCATGTTGTGCAACTTTGATAGAATTTTGATCAGAGATACGGAGATCATAAAAAAATTAAGCGCGGTAGAGAAATCTGCTAACAACGAAAAAATTGATTTTGACGTCAAGGGCGGAGCAGCCAGTATACCTAAAATTTTGTGTAGCGCAATGCAGAACTCTTTTCAAGACTGAACGACTTGCTAAATCAATAACAATGAGAAAAAAAAATGATGTGTTAGGGTTTGTTATTTCCTTGGTATACTTTTTTTTTAGCAATAAATTAAACATGAGTAAAATTAAGAGATATGGACGACCATGAGTTATTACATAGAGTATTGATATCGTTACGGTATTTAACCCGCGTTGCATAAATTGGCACCGCATGATTCTAAGTCGTCCTTTCCCAGAAATGAAAATTTTTGACTGAGGTAGCAACAGCATACATTTTTAAAGAATAGTTTAAGAAAAGAGACTGTTTGATTTTTGTAATGTTATATATGTTATAACAAAGAAGGAAGAGTATTAAAACGCTTCCCGATCGTTACACATGCGAAACAATCTACGGCTAACCTAAAGTTTAATGACGTAGCGAGGCTGCTCCGGGTCGATAGACATATGTGTATTTATTACTTCACAGAAACTTATATAATTATCGTAGGAATTAGAAATTTTGCTTAAGTGTTTTAGACGTTCTTTATAAGATGTTGATGAATTTTCATGAAATTATCTCCGTCCTTTATGGAGTAAATGTAATTGTCTCAATAATTTCCGAACAGCCCTCGTAAGTTTGATACTTAATTTCAGTTTATTTCGCTATATAAGGTAACGATTAATTGGGATTAAAACAGCAAAAGGTTTCCACTTTGTTGTGAGAAACTCAATTTTTCTTAATTTGTCAAAATAGATGTGCCTCATGTTAGCAATGGTGAGCGCGCGAGTATGAATGACTCGCTGAGCTGACCATGTGACCTTACACATTCTATTTAATTAATCCATCAGGCAAAGGCGTGGATCTGATAATTTTCACGAATAACCAACCTAAATACTTCCGGAAAACTCCAAACAAATCCTCGCATTAAATACATAAATACAATTATTATTCCTAAAATTGTAGTTTTTATTTATTATTGACAAATTAATATATTACATTTATTTAAAAAAAAAAACATGACCATATATTTGGCCCAAAATTATGTGTAGGCATTTGCCTTTTTGCCTTTATGGACGCTACGCCACTGTTTGGATGTATACAATTAGATTACTAGTTTAATTTTGAACTTTGCCTTAACTTAAAGACAACATTTGTTTAGGTGAGGTCTGTAATCTCTGATTACTTAATGTTTAAGTTTGGTATATTTCTATGTGACCAGTCTAGTGTTAATTTCGCCTTGTTCAATGTTTTTTTTTTTTCAGATGAGGTTTAAAATTAATTTGTTTACCCATTTTTCATTTCATTTATCTATTTGTAGATCCAGAATGCTATCCAAAACTGAAAGGGAATGCAAAAAAACGAGACAGGTATTAATTTTTCTGCATAAGACCATCTTAGAAAAAATGTTTGGTTGCCCTCTCTTGTCCGATTGACAAGAAATGGCCCGACTCTAAACTTTTTTACATTCCAGGACACAATATTTTTTCCGATCACATTTTGTCCGGCGTTCGTCTGTCTGTCTGCCTGTCTGTGTAAACTCCTTCTTAAGACCATTCAGCTAATTTCAACCAAACTTGGCACAAAGTATCCCTGGGTGAATGGGATTCAAGTTTGTTAAAATGAAGGGTCACATCCCTTTCCAAGGAAAGATTATAAATAATTACTGAAAAATTAATGACATCTTTTTTAAAATCTCAAGAACCACTGGGCCAGGAAAGAAAAAAACTTAAATGGAAGCATCCTCAGTGTAGAATCAAATTTGTTCAAATCATGACTCCCTGGGGTAGGGCAGGGCCACAATGGAAAATCAAAGTCTTACATACAGGAAAGTGCCACAAGTTTATAGACAAAATGGCAGATATCAACGTCAAAACGGCAATGTAATACAGTTTTTTAGAGGCTATAAAATAATAATGAATTTGGTAATATAACCTTCTGATCTGATTATTTTTAACATCTGAGAAGGTAAGGATCTGTAGAGGCTCCGTATGTAAGATACAGGTATATTAATCCAGATGTCATGTATATCTCTCCAAGTCAGTGACATTATTAATGTTGGAAAACCTGTGTTTCAGTTTTTTTTCAAGAGAAAGCAAATATTTTCGATAATGTTTGCATCAAGAGACTTTGCTGACCAAAACATACCTGGAATTGAGTTTCTTTATTTATATGCTTGTACTATTCAGACATGGTGAACCAGTGCATTGTCATCTTGAAAGACAATCGTTATTAGGAAAAGATTTTGCTACAACCAGCCACAATTGTTCTTCAAGGATGTTTATATATTTTTTTGCATTAATGTTGCCATTAACCACAGTCAGTGTACCACCTCCATTCCAAGTGATGCATCCCCACAACATTAAACTCATGACAGGTTTCGGCATTGCACCGGGGCTGATGCATGCTGGTAACCACTCTTCCCCTGCCTTTCTCCAAATATATACTCGGTTGTTTGGGCCTAAACAACTTTGCATTTGTCAGAGAAGATGACTTTTGACCAGTTATTGTCAACAGTCCACAGTCATTTGCCTCTCGCCCATGCCACGCGATATTTTCAGTTTTGATCTCTAATTCGAATTTTCTTCCTGCACAAGTGCGGTGGTACTTATTTTTAGATAAATAGCAATGAACTGATCTTTCAGACACAGGAAACATCCTACCTTGGTTGAACTTTCCTGTTATATTCCTTTAATGGAATGATTAGCCTTTACAAGCCTCAAAAGCTGGCATTCGTCTCAGAAGTTCATTTTTCTGGGACGCCCGGATCTTTTCCATTTTCTGTGCTTCCCCTCATTGCACACAGTTTTACAACATCAATCACATCATACACAGTTTTCCAGTCTCTATTCAGTAATCTTACAGTTTCAGAATAATATTCTGTCTCTCTGTAACTGTCTACGATAATTTGTTTCACAGCAGGTGTTAAATTTTTAGACTTTCCCATTGTTTCATTTAAGCGATTGTACTAGGCGACCGTATATTAAACAAATGGCTAAGTTTTCGGTACAGTGTAAAATATATATGTGACAATACTTGAGAATTTTTTTTCTAAATATCATCCTAAATTTTGATGTGGGATGAAATATGTATCTATACTTGCTAAATGCATCATTAAAAAGATAACTTCCAAAAGAAAAATGTTTTTATTCATGAAATTTTTAGATAACCTGGCTGTCCACATCACATGTTGGACAAACAGGACAGGCAAAATCAGTTGCCATCAACTTCAAAATGAATTGCAAATCTACATTTCTTGTACTATATTCTAGGTAAGCAATACTTGATATCGCGATTATTTAACTTAGCGGAACTCTTTCGCAATGGAGGTAGGAAACGTCTGTTGGCTGCGGAGAAATGTGCTATTGAATACAATACAAGATCAATCATTGTAGAATTTATAAGCACAGATAAGTAAAAAAAATCCTGGTGGAATACCTTCAGTTGCTAAACAATCGCTGAACCAGCCCAATTAATTTTTGAGAGGAGGTAATCCTAAAATGTTACATTTTTAGCTCACCTGAGCCGAAGGCTCAAGTGAGCTTTTCTTATCACATTTTGTCTGTCGTCCGTCCGTCTGTAAACTTTTCACATTTTCGACTTCTTCTCAAGAACCAATGGGCCAATTTTAACCAAACTTGGTACAAAGCATCCTTGGGTGAAGGGTAGTTTAAATTATTAAAATGAAGGGCCAAGTCCCCTAGCTTACAAGGGAGATAATCAAGAAAAGACAAAAATAGAATGGGGTCACTAAAAAATCTTCTTTTCAAGAACCACTGGGCCAGGAAAGCTGAAACTTATGTGGAAGCATTCTTGGCTTGGGTAGTGTAGATATTAAATTGTTAAAATCATGACCCCCAGGGGTAGGGCGGGACCACAACAGGGAATCCAAGTTTTACATTGAAATACATAGAACAAATCTTTAAAAATCTTCTTCTTAAGAACCACTGGGTCAGGAAAGCTTAAACTTGTGTGGAAGCATCCTTGGCTTGGGTAGTGTAGATATTACATTGTTAAAATCATGACCCCCAGGGGTAGGGCGGGGCCACAATAGGGAATCCAAGTTTAACATAGAAATATATGGAACAAATCTTTAAAAATCTTCTTCTTAAGAACCACTGGGCCAGGAAAACTGAAACTTAAGTGGGAGCATCCTTGGGTAGTGTAGATATTAAATTGTTAAAATAGTGACCCCCCTTGGGGTTAGGGTGGGGCCACAATAGGGAATTCCAAGTTTTACATAGAAAAATATAGAACAAATCTTTAAAAATCTTCTTCTCAAGAACCACTTGGCCATGAAAGCTGAAACTTGTGTGGAAGCATCCTTGGGTAGTGTAGATTCTATAGTTTTAAAATAAAAAAGGGAAGGGGGTTGTTGGGCATGATAGGTATAGCAAGAGGGGGGAATCTGGTAAAGATCTGCATCACCCAAGTTACTCAGGTGAGCGATGTGGCCCATGGGCCTCTTGTTATTAATGATATTTTTAACTAATCGGGCTCTTCTCATAAATTTTTGTAAATGTAAACAATGCCATGTGGCCCAGTAATCACGTGAGATTTGAGCTTTCTTGACTCCCCTGCAAAAGAGCCTTAGTAAATTAGATAACTGCAAGGTACTCACAATATACCGGTAATGTATTAGGTTTAAACTTCTTCTCATATTGCAAAATCATATAAACGCATAAAAATATGAAAAAAGTGACGAAGTGTTGGATGAACAGGGACAAACAAAAAGTCTATTTTTCAGCTCTCTATGTTCAAGGAAAAGTATTTTCAGCTTTGGAATTTGAAATATATGATGACAAAAGACATAAAGTGCAAAGAAAATTGGGAACAATAGATAAATAACATAAGTATGAAACTTAAAAATCTCATTTTTTATGTTGGACAAACAGAAGACAGATGTTGGAAAAGCCTGGATGGACACTGAGGATTTAGGGAATTTTAATCTCTTTTGTATTAAATTGCACATAATTTCCGAGGAAAAAACACACAAAATGATCTATCTCCATCTAAAAGATATTTATTCAGATAATTATTGACACATTTTAATGTTTTATGGATAGATTAAAGAGAAAATGACATTAATTGTTTTTTAGGAGAAAATTATTTTTTCTAATAAAATTATTATTAGGTATTATGAGGTATTTTCACTGTGTGTACTTGTCTTAAGAGCATGTCTTACGAGAAAACCATGCAAAAGGTTATGGGAGCAAGGTTCTCTGATCAACTTCATGTTTTGTGTGTAAATTTCTTCTATAATATGAAATATTTTGCTACAAAAATTTTTTCAGTGTGATGTCACTTAAGGGGTTAAATCGCCACTGTTACTAAAAATAGAATTCTTGGTCCTTACGCAGGGTGAAAACAGGAATTTTATAGGATTTTATATTTAAAAATTCAGCATTTTACTTGATAATGATATACAATATCCATGTATGGTTGAAAGTAACAAGATACACTTGTTTCGGAAAATTTTTCATAATCACAAACTGTGCCCCCGTTTAAGTGCAAAAAGGTCACAAATCTGGCATGTTTCCAGATTTTTGAAACCTGGTGAAAATATTCACTTTTCAAAAACCTATAACTCAGAAAGTGACGCCTAGAATCAACTCAATCTCATACCAATTATTAGACAACATGTATGTCTACATTATATAAAAAATCTGTCTTTGGACTCTCAAATATTTTGCTGTACTTTTTACTTAAAGTTGGACATTTTTTTTGTGAATTTTCAAATTTTCTCATCCCTGAACTTCAGCAAGGAGTTATTTTGCTGATTTAAATATTTTCAAAAATTTAAGTTTAGCTGTTGAAAAATACCAGTATATTGTACATTTTTTTTTCTCGATCAATAATTATTTCCTAAGGGGTTAAATAAGGTTAATTGGGGAGGGGGGGGGGGGTAACCAGAATTGTATTACTTTACATTTTCTTTGAAAAAGGTGATATTCACATACTGCTTAGTACCTGTTTGTCAATCAGTAGACCAAGTGTGTTCTCTTTTATCTTAAAAAAAAAAACATTTGCTTGATAGACAATAAACATAGTACACTGGTACCTACTAATAAGTAGATGGCCCCTTTTAATTTGGAGTTCACAAGGTCAAAGGTCAAGGGTTATAATTCTCGATATACAGTGGAGCCTCATTTATCCGGACGCTTTGGTTCCAAGTAAATTTGTCCGGATAAGTGAAGTGTCCAGATATCTGAATTACCAGTTAAACATAACAAAATAACATTAAAAAATTCCATTCCGATGAAAAATCGTCCGGATACTGAAACATCCGGATATCTGGCGTCTGGATATCTGAAGGTCCACTGTACCAGTATGTAGATTTTAATCATTCAAAATCTTGAGGACCCATTGC